TTGCATGTTGCATGTTACAAAGCGGTCATGTTGCATGCGTTAATACGTCGGTTATGTTGCATGCGTTAATACGTCGGTTATGTTGCATGCGTTAATACGTCGGTTATGTTGCATGTTGTAAACATGTTGTATGTTGCATGTTACAAAGCGGCGGTGTTGCATGCGTTAATACATCGTCGTCTAAAACCATAGACATAATATACTAGTTAAACTATATATTGTGTCTCTGTATATATTTCTATGGTTAAAACGTATATGAGATCTGTCATCGGCAACCTGAAACATCAGGTCTAAGGTATCGTGCCCCGGGCGCAACACGAACTCTTTTAGTTTATTAACTTTCTTTAATAATAACCAAAATAATATCGATTCATTTCTCTATTGAGATTTAAAAATATTCGTGCGCTAACCATGAGACACGGTGACGACACAGGTATGTAGTTATACGCAGCGGCGTCACTATGGTTGGTGTCACACGGTGCGGTAACTCATGGTGTCACACGGTGCGGTAACTCATGGTGTCACCCCCATGGACATCCTCCCGTACCAGACCATACAGAATCCTTAGTTTGTTGTATATACATATACTAATCTCTTACTCGTAAATCGTAATTCCCGTTTATGACTGAATGTAATGGCAATAGTAGTGACATAAACAACTAGCAAAATTAAAATCATCCCCTCTGATGGTGTCACCCGGTGCGTTCCCCCCCCACCCCCTCCGCACCCCCGTTGTGACGTCACTGGTTATACGCTTACTGACTCATCCCATATCCTCACCTGGTATAGCGAGCGCATTGAGGGGCGCCGCAGCTACATGCGCCGGTACATCTCTCATCCAGTCGGCATAATCTAAACGGCTCTCCCGAATTTCGAACGACGACGACGACGACAACGCCGACGACGACAATAGTGACGACAACGCCGACGACGACGACGACGACGACGACGACGACGCCGACGATGACAATGGTGACGACAATGGTGACGACGACGACGACAGAAGCGTGGCGCAAAACAGCGCGAAGGTGCAACGAAAGCGATCTTCTAACGACGACATAGTTAGAGCGCTAGAAAACGCCGAATTAGTCTGCGTTGTGCGATGCGAAACAACAGCGCAATATGGCCGCGTTGGTTGGCATATCGGATATCGGATCGGATACCGGATTTTGGATATCGGTCGCAACAACAACATGCGCTACTTCATGTACTAGGCACGGGGCATATGCGTATATATATATATTATATAGAGTGCTCGCGCTGCTGCAGTGCAAGAGTACCTTGCTGAAAAAATTCAATACAGACGGGACATACGAGTGCACGTTTGTTTAACGTATCATATGATAGACTGGCTGATAGGCTTTTAAGACGTGACCGCACACCTACACGCGTATTACACGTGCATAAGTTTACTGTATGCCCGCGCTTGCTGCTTTAGAAATAAGATTACTCTGTTGACACTATGTTTTCGTGCTAACGCGATGTGTGTCTGTGTGTACGTGCGTGCGTGCGTGCGCGTGTGTGTGTCCGCGTGTGTGTGGGCGCGCATGTGTGCGTGCGTGTGTGCCTGCGTGTGTGTGGGCGCGTGTGTGTGTGCGTGCGTGTGTGCCCGCGCGTGTGTGTGCGTACGTGTGTGCCCGCGTGTGTGGGGGCGCGCGTGTGTGGCCGCGTGCGTGTGCGTGCGCGTGCGTGTGCCCGCGTGTGTGTGGGCGCGCATGCATGTGTGCGTGCGTGCGTGCGCGTGTGTGGGCGCGTGTGTGTGTGCGTGCATGTGTGTACGTGCGTGTGTTCGTATGTACGTGCGTGTACGTGCGGGTACGTGCGTGTACGTGCGTGTACGTGCGTGCATGTACGTGCGTGTACGTGCCTATTATAGGAAATTAATCGCCTAATATAACCGCTACAGGTTGAGCTCATCACTAAATGGCATCTATAGGCAGCAGACGCACAATAATGAATCAAAAACACTAAGAAGGTTACAGAGAAATTTTTTGGGCAAGTGGCTCGCAAAGTTATAAATAGTAAGATGGTATGTACATTTAATAAAAGTTGCAATTGACCCCGGTCTCCCGTACTGCGAGATCTGACGCGCGGCTGGCGCCACATTGCGTACACACATGTTGAAAGCGGGTTAACTTGGTAGGCTCCAAATTAGCCCGCTTTAAAGCGGGCTTGGCCCTCCTTCATTTGCGGAGCCAAATTGGTGCGGGCCAGCGCGTATTTGGAGCGGGATAGCAGGTACACACAGCTGTGGAGACGAGAATTGTTACTGCGTCATAGCGGAGATGATGCAACGCAGTACAGGGGTGGCAACAATCATATAGACCGACAGTCATCGGTTACAGTCCTATAGACCGAAGGTCCGATAGACCGAAGGCCCGATAGACCGAAGGTTTATTCGAATACGCAGTGGCTACACGTCCGGAATCGGTCGCCTATACCCTCCAAGCTACGCATCCGGACATCCACTGATGCCGTATTCGAACGAGAATATGCCGCACATCCACCGATGCCACTATAAATCATATGATGCCACTATAAACCATATATATGCCCTAACCTTAACCCTAACCCTAACCCTAAGCCTAACCCTAACCCTAACCCTAAGCCTAACTCTAACCCTAACTCTAACCCTAACCCTTTGCAATATTTGGTCTATCGGACCTTCGGTCTATCGGACCTTCGGTCTATCGGACCTTCGGTCTATAGGGCTGCCCCCGTCCGAACATGTTTCACCCGGCCAGCGGAATTATAGGGAATCAATACGGCATGCGAGCTGCTCATTGGTTATAACGAGCGGTGCCGTATGGCATAAGTGAATAGATATATAAGGAAGAGAAAAGAAGGTTCGGGAGAGAGAAGGGAGTCGGGTGGGGCACTGGCTACCCGACCCACGCATGTAAGCCTCAGCACATATGTATTCCAATAAAGACGTCTATATCTTATATATTATACACAACCTCTTCGACCATCATTGTCTACGATCACCGACCGACGAGTTAGCGTAACAGCGGAATACCAGGGCTACATTTGGCGCCGTTTGACCAAAAGAACTGAGTATTTCTTTGCAAAACAACGCAGGAGGAAGAAGACGAATCTACCGTGTATGATGCACGCGCTGAACATTGGGTAAACACAACGCAAGAGAAAGAACGAGAAGATGAAGAAGAAGAAGAGGAAGAAGAAGAAGAAGAAGAGGGACCGACGAGTTAGAGTAACAGCAGAATACCAGGGCTACACAGCAACCGGACCGGACCAGTTTGATACCATATCAAATTTGAACATCTGTACGGGGTCTTAAACCGATAAGTGTATAATTGTGTGTATACGGGGATTGTGCGGTGCATTCTGCTCTGTGTTTGCTGAAGGTGTTTCGGTACAATTGCAGAATTAGTAATGATTAAGGTGATAAACACTTGTCGATGGGTAAGGGATCAAACAAATTCAGACACAGCATAATCAAATTAGTAGGATTTTCAGAGGAAATTTAATCGCAGGTTCTATGTCATCGGGATTTTTGTCTTAGACTATAAACAGTGTTAAACCGATGAGTGGAAAATTTTGTGTATACGAGAAATGTTCGATGTTACCCTGTTCTGTGTTTGCTTACGGCGTTTCGGTATATTGGAATTAGCATATTCATGTTTAAGGTGATAAACACTTGTCGATGGGCAATCGAAGAGACCAACAAATAATAATCTCTCCGAAGGTACAGGGTGTGTTTTGTACAATGTATTTATATATAAAAAAATCATGTAAAGTAAATAATGAATGAATGCATACGTATCAATCGTCGCTATCGTTACTATTTGTTTAAATATATAATTTTTTACAATGTCTCACGCATATACCATCCGATCATATCAACAAATTCAAGGGGTCACAGCTAGGTCTATAACGCCGAACATACCCGTGTAGTATTAGTAGTAATAGCGTCCGTCAGCATGAGTTGATGTTCGTATAAATTCGTCACCGTTCGCAGGCAATGGCAGAACGTTAGCAGTTGTGCTGTTAGAATTGCAGAATCCATCGTGTATTGGGTTAAACCAGGGAAAGCGGCATGGTACGTAGTACTACAGTTGATCTGTGCAAGTATGGTAATTAAGTAGAATGTAGCGACACGGCTAGATTTGAGTTGAGCAATTCAAGACATTGACTATAGCATTTACTAGACACTGTGTTTTATTATTACGTAAGGTTTTGTGGTTTTTATTAGAGTACACAAAATTTCTGTTACAATAAATTGTATTTGTAATTTGTAAATTTGGTTTTGGTTGTAATATAAATGACAATAGCAAGGATTAATGTTCGGATTTGGGCCGAGGTACGGATTAATGTACTACAATTAGTGTTGGGAATCGCAGTAGGGTTATATGTCACAAGACATAGATTTTGTCTATAGATCTTCTAGCGTTACTCTCCTACGTACTAATTAATATTATGTTCAGAGGAGAAGTTTCATAAGGATCTTTTGTCGGGAATTATATACCGTTGCGTTACATTATAAATATTGCTAATTATATTAATTGGTTCGTATAAATTGTTGTGTTTACAATATTAGTCACGTATAATTACAAATGTTCATCAAACCAAAATAATAATATATTTAGTATAACATATAATGCCTAATTACGATGGTAATGTACCAATTGTACTTCATTAGAAAATGCGACCGGGTGGCTACTCCTTATTTGTATCTACTATGATATTGACATCGGTACTGAACATGCAAGCACTTGGCAGGACAGGTAAGATTTCACACCTATATCCGTTCATAATCAATACGCAAACATTCAAGAGGATAATTGCAGAACATGTGGATCTAGATGTGTTTAATCGCAGAGTATGCGTAAGGATAAAATATTAAGCCGGACTTTTAATGTATCCGCATTAGCTGTTAAGTGACATTAGAGAAAATGTTTTCTGGATTCTATTTTCATGATAGTGATTGCGGGCAAGACAGCGGAAACTGGCATGTCAGCAGACATTCCTGAAGTGACATCGGTAGCTGATGCCTCAACACCAGTACCAGGTACTAGTTCAACAGGAACTGCCACAACAACAGATGCTCACGACATCTCAACGGAAGGAACAGTCTTCACAGTAAGGACAACAGTCAACACTGAAGTAACCTCAGAAGAAGCTGCATCAACACCAGTACCAGGTACTAGTTCAACAGGAACAGCCACAACAACAGAAACTCACAACATCTCAACAGAAGATACAGTCTCCACAGTAAAGACAACAGTCGACACCGAGGTAACCACAGAAGGGGCTGCATCAACACCAGTACCAGGTACCAGTTCATCAGGAACTGCCACAACAACAGACGCTCACGACATCTCAACAGAAGGAACAGTCTTCACAGTAAGGACAACAGTCAACCCTGAAGTAACCACAGAAGGGGCTGCATCAACACCAGTACCAGGTACTAGTTCAACAGGAACTGCCACAACAACAGAAACTCACAACATCTCAACAGAAGATACAGTCTCCACAGTAAGGACAACAGTCGACACCGAGGTAACCTCAGAAGAGGCTGCATCAACACCAGTACCAGGTACTAGTTCAACAGGAACTGCCACAACAACAGACGCTCTTGACATCTCAACAGAAGATACAGTCTCCACAGTAATAAGAGGAATCAAATGCAATGAAACCACAGAAGGGACTGCATCAACACCAGTACCAGGTACTAGTTCAACAGGAACTGCTACATTAACATATACAGCAACACCAAATACTAGTTCAACAGTAACCGCTACAATAACATATACAGCAACACCAAATACTAGTTCAACAGGAACTGCCACAACAACAGACGCTCATGACATCTCAACAGAAGAAACAGTCTCCACAGTAAGGACAACAGTCGACACCGA